TTTAAAGTATATACAATTTTTCAAATCAAATACTATGTTATAAATCGTTGTAATGGTGATTTGCTGATAGTCAATTGAAGATCAAAGGAATCCTCTCAATTGGAGACACGCTAAGCATCTATAAGACATGGTAAGCATGACAACTTTAATGGACCATTAGAGTGTTGTCCCTAAGAGAGTATGTTGTCTAGCTTGCTAAGTACAATAGCCATAGAGATACCACCTTAGTTTGGATACCAAGCGAAGTTGGATTTTGTTAAGAACCATAACCATTAAGGTTTAAGATATTTTAATGCTGAGCAAGAGAGGACACACACTAAGCACAAGACCTCTAGACCCTTGCTTGTTGTAATCTTGGTGCAAAACGAGAGTGTAGTATCATTAACTACTAGTATAGTGACACTAAGTACCTTTGAACTAGACAAATTTTTTATTTTTCTTATTTTTCTTAAATCAAACACTCATAATTTCACTCTATTTTACTCGTTTTTATTCATTCATTTATTATTTTTATTTTTATTTCTTTCAACCTTATTTTTTCATTTATTTTATCACAACCAAACACAATGTTAACTTTTAAAGAAGATTAAAACTTGCAGTTTTTTTTTTCATGATATCACTTTCAGTTAACAAATTGAAAATCCATTTTCCTAAACATCTAGCTTTTGTTTTCTAAAGAAAAAAACATTGAAAAATAAAAATAACCTATGCGTATTGGACTTAGAACCCTAAACCCTAACAATCAATTAAAATTCGAATTCAATAAATTATAAAGTTGTTATAATTTATAAAGGAAATTTATTTTTATTTTTATAATTTAATTAGATGCCAAATCAATATACTTTTTGCAATTGTTGAAAATATTTTTTCTTTGGAATATATATATATATTTTGTTGTACTAAGAGTTGTTTTTTTGCTTAGTTATAAATAACGATAAGACTTTTGCTTTTAAATAAAATATGGAAAGAAAAAAGATTGCCGACCTCAAATTTTGAGTGATCTGATACTTTTTTTTTCTTGTTGTAGATATTAGAAGAAGGTTCTTTTTAAATAAAATTTCAAGTTTGAAAAATAGATATCGATATAATTTACGCTCTTAAGTAATTCATCAAGCTTGTAAAAAAAATAAAAGTAATTCAAAAAGATATCAAGAATATATTTGGTTTAGGGCTTAAGGTTTTAGAATTATGTTTCTAATATGTTTGACTATTAGCAAAATTGATTTAAAGACGTAAAATTTCACATCCATTTATAAGTAATTAATTTAGTAGTAAGATGATTTAGATTTGAGTAAAAATTCAATTCAAACCAATTAAATTTAAATGGTTTAGATTTAATAAGAATTTTTGTTTAGCACGAACCGAATCCAATCAAGTTGATTGAGTTGGTTTGGATCATCGAATATCAATTTAATTTATTTAAAAAAATTTAATTAAATATTTTTTCTCAAAGTAAATTGATTCTCTAATATTGACTAAATTGTTATATTGTCAAAAATTAACTAAATTGATAAATTTGTAATATAGTTTCTCTTAATTTCTTTTATTAATCTATTTAAAGATTTTAAATGTACTGCAGTGTGTGAAAATGCAATTCAATTTGTTGTAATATAATTTTTCTTGGTTTCTTTAAACATTTAAAAATAAAATTAAAAAACTATATATTGTAATACAAAAACATCTTCAAAATAATAAAAATATATATATATACATACATGATACATATTAATTTTAACAAAATAAAAATATATAGATTAATTTGTTTGATTTAGGTTAATTCGGAATTTAAATGTGTAAATTTGATACTTGAACAATCAATATTAAATTTAATTGATTTGAGTTGGACTTGAATAAAAATAAAAATTAAACCAATTTAATTATTTCAATTTGGATTATTAAATTGATTTGATCCAATCTAACAATTATTAGTAGTTTTTCCATCAAACAAAATCATGAAAGTCAGCATACTAGTAGAGATTGAAGTAATATGTATAAATTTATAGATCTGAACTCTAGTATTTTATTATAATTCAATAAATAAAAAATCAATTTTAATAACAATTTTTTTAATAAAATTTAATATAAAAATTAAATTCATATCTTATCATGTAAACAAAAATTATATTATTTTTAATTTATGTTTACACAAAATCAATTATACAAATTCATATTGATTGAAAATTAATTATATCAATGTATATCCAAACACAAATTAACAGTGATATACTATTTGTGTAAAAAAAAATTATATGCAATCAATTAATAAAAATTGCACTTTATATAACCACCCATTCACATATGAATTTAATAATAATACAATGTAAAATTTTACATAATCAGTTATTTATTAATTATTTTTTATGAATTTTTAGATAGTTCGATACTTTTTTATTTATTTATATTATTTGATTAAAAGAAAAGACATTACTATTGCAGACAACTTACTAATCGTTAAACTGTGAAGTGGCCTGAGCAGCTGAGCTTTTCAGTTCTAACGTGCACGAATTTATTTTTATGAGTTTTAATTTTTTTTTTTTATGAGTTAACGTGCAGGAATATCCTAACTGTTAATCTTATCCGAAAGAATCTATCGGTCAAACTTCTCTTATTCGGTGAGATTATTTTTATTTATTATTTACTTATTTGTTTCCATTTTTATTTTATTTTACTTTTCTTCTTATTTTTCTTATCACATTATGTATTATATTTATTCATTTATTCTTCCATAAATCTCTCAAATATTTTTTGTCTTTATATTTATTTTTCTTTAACTTTTTAGTTTTATAAATTATAAATCTTTTTAATCTCTATACTTATCTTTTAAATCCATTTTAATTATTGTCTATAATGTTTTTTAATATTGTTTATGTCACAGAGGTCTTCAACTGTATATTTTTATGTTAAATTTATTTTATTAAAATTATCTTAAATTTCACTTCTTAATATCTTGTATTTCTTTTTTATTTTCACTTGCAACACTCTATTCAGACATATAGTTTTTTCACAAATAATATTATTGGAGTTAATTATCATAAATGAGTCATCAAAATATGATAACATCAGACATCTTAACTAAAAAATAAATTAAAAAATGTATGAAGTGTTAATATGTCTATTTTAAGATAATCTCAACAAAAATAAATTTCAGTAATTAAAATATAAAATTAAGGGTCTTTATTACATAAAAGAAAATATTATAAATAAATTAACAATAGATATAGAAAAAGTTTATAAAGATAAATATATGAATTAAAAAAATCTATTTTTATATTATAAGAATTAAAATATTAAAAAAAATAAGTATACATTTTATGCTATAAAAATAAAAATAAAAATAAACAAAATAAAAGTATAAAAAGTAAAATATATTTTATAAATAATTATATTTTAATTGTTAGATGGAGTAATTGACGGGGCAGGGCGAGTGTGAGTTTGAGTCACCGACAGCCTCTGGTTAGTCAAAGTTGGTACAGTGCACATTCTAATAATGTTTGAATACTGCCTTGGTTGTTAGGGACCTCACCAGTGCTCACCGCACAAAATCAATTAACAATTCTTAAATTCAACCATCTATGTCCATGGTCAATCATACATTCAATATCATTCACACATGCAAACATAGCAAAACTATAATTTCATTCTTTTCTGCTCCACCTTTTTCTTATTAATTGTTTTTAGTTGTCTACTTGTCTGAAAAAATGTTAAAATATTCGTGTTCTTCAAGTTAGAACATCAAAAGATCTCTCATGCATATGCACACGCTGCATGAAGAAAAAAAAAAAACAGTGAGTGAGATCAACATGTAGAAGAAATTTATACTTGAAAGGTTGATTGTTGACGTACAAATATGAATAAGTTTCAAATCATATATGTGTATATTGAGTAACACCATCTATTTGTGATTTATTCAATCTATCTAAGTAAAATTTAATTCATTTCATTCGGTTATTAAAATGGTTATTAAAAAAAAAAAAGATTATAAAATGGTTTGATGGAATGATTGAGTGGCATCTTTAGCTCAACGTAATACGGTGAATACCTAAGTGATATTTTTGACTGGTTCAAAGTTCAAACACAATATAGAAACGGAACATCATCTAACCTTCATGCTCAATTTATATCGGGCTGGGTTTTGTTTATGGGCTTCTAGTTGCAAATCGAAGCCCACATTCCCGAAAGTCGCACAAAATCTCCAAAATTTTAATCCATTAGCATTTAGTAATCAAAATCAGTCACAAAGAATTACATGCGTTGGTCTGTTCTGGAATCGCAATTTTAACCGGAACAAGCGAAATTCCGGCGAATTGTCGGAGAAGCTGAAGTGAACCAAAAAAAGAAGAAGAAGAAGAAGCTAATATTAAATAATTTATAAATTTAAAATATAATTTTTAAAAACAATTTGATGAATCATCTATTAAAAGAAATTGTCAACGAATGAATTAGATAAATTTTATTAAATAGATTATGAATGAAATGAATTAATTTTTTTAATAAAATGTTAATAGATATGAATAGATCATTAAATTATTTTTAAATTTAATGTATTTATTATAATATGGATCAAAATTTATTCAATCCATTTTTCCACCTCTGATAAAACTCCTTATTATAAATTACATTAAAAAATGAGTCATAAACAATTTATTCCTTTATGTATACATTTGATTCTAACATTTTAAATATAAATTGAGCTTATGGATTCCTCTCATCTGTTTATTAGAGGAAAAGGAGGATATCCTAGAGGGTGCGTAGCAATCTTTTGCAATTCTGAAGATTCTTTTTTATTCTTTTCTCTTTCTTTTCTACAGTTATTTTATTTTCATTGGTCAATATGTAACAAATTATGTTAGGTTAATTGTCTCCTTGTGTGTATATATTGATGATAGCACTATTCCTCCTTTATGAATGAAATTACATAAAGTTTTTCATATTATCTTTGCTCTTTTTCTATTATGGTATCAGAGCTCTGAAATTTAGAGCTCTGTTTGCTACATTCATAAATGAATATTGACCCTTCTCAAGATCCCACCTCACCATACTATCTTCATCCATCAGAAAACCCTTCATTAGTTCTTGTTTCTTTTGTTCTTGATGGACCAAATTATCATCAATGGTCACGTTCCTTTCGTATGAGTCTTGTTTCCAAGAACAAGCTTGGTTTCATTGATGGAACCATTGTTGCTCCTGCTCGTTCCAATATTCTTTTCCCAGCTTGGGAAAGAGCCAACATGATGGTCGTATCTTGGATCATTCGATCACTCTCATCATCCATTGCACAGAGTGTTATTTGGAGAGACATTCCGGATTGCTGACCTACAAGACACTATCTCATCCCTGAAACAAGGAGAGTTAAGTGTTACTGATTATTTCACAGAGTTGAAAATCCTTTGGGATGAGCTAGAAATTTTTTGACCCTTACCTGTTTGTTGTTGTGCTGTCAAATGCTCTTGTACTGCCTATGTCAATGTTAACAAGTATAAGGTTTAGGATCAGGTGATCAAATTCCTTAGAGGGTTGAATGAAAGCTACTCTACTATAAAATCCCAAATCATGCTCTTGGATCCATTGCCACCTCTCAACCATGTTTTTTTCTTTAGTGGTTCAACAAGAGAGGCAAATGTTTGGTGACACAGTTGAGCAGTCTAAAGTGATGGTTGTTGCTGGTAAAGGAGGCAGAGTAAATAATGGTAAGGGTAATAACAGCAAAATTTGTAGTCATTGTGGAAAATCAGGACATACAGTGGATACATGCTACAAGAAACATGGATTTCCACCTCACTTCAAATTTACCAAACAGAATCAAAATAAGAATAAAGTGTATGTGAACGATTCAGTCCACAATGATGATGCAGATCGAAAGGAATTTGGACTGCTGAAGGAACATTTGGGACATCAGCAATTTGGTTTCACTGAGGAACAATATCAAGGCTTAATAGCACTCTTGCAGCAGTCACAAATTTCTAACAGCAGTCATGTGTCAAACCAAGTCTCGGCCACACTTGGACCTTTTGATCATTCTGGACAAATTGGTAATACCTCTTCTTCTTTTAGTTCTTGGGTTTTGGATAGTGGTGCTACTGACCACATTTGTTACTGTTTGTCTCATTTTACCTCTTACCATAAAATTAAACCCATTCATGTCACATTACCAAATGGAAACAAGGTTGTTGCTAATTATTCTGGTAATGTGTTTTTGACATTAGATCATGTTCTTCATAATTTCTTATACATTCCTAGTTTTAGTTTTAATTTGCTATCTATTGGAAAATTAACTGCTAGCCTTTCTTTTATTCTCACATTTGATTTTACTCATTGTCAAATACAGGACAAGATTACCTTGAAGACGATTGGTATAGCTAACATTCTTGATAGCCTTTACATACTCAGGGTCCCTTTTTATCAATTGTTACCATATACTTAGAATCCATCCCATACAACCACTGTTGTTAACTTGGCTTCTATTGATGGTTCCACTCTTTGGCATTTTCGTCTTGGTCATGTTTCAAATAAATGTCTTGATGTGATAAAGGGAAAGTTCCCTCATGTGAACCATGAAAAATCTTATGTTTGTGACATTTTCCATTTAGCTAAACAAAGAAAACTTCCTTTCCTTGTTAGCAATTCTATTTCAAATAAATGTTTTGATCTTATTCATGTTGATTTATGGGGACCTTACTCCATTCCATCTGTTCATGGAAACAAGTACTTCTTGACCATTGTTGATGACCATTCATGATATACTTGGATCTTTCCTTTAAAGCTAAAATTTGAAACATAATCTTTCCTTTAAAGCTAAAAAATTCTACAAAATTTTGTTTCATTGATTAAAACACAATTTGATTCAGTTATAAAAGTCATAAGAAGTGATAATGGAACTGAGTTTTGTATGAATGATTTTTATGCTTCTAAAGGAATAATTTATCACACTTCTTGTGCTTATACCCCTGAACAGAATGACATTATGGAGAGGAAACATGGTCATTTATTGAATGTAGCCAGAGCTCTGATGCTTCAATCTAATTTGCCAAAAATATACTGGTCATATGTTGTTATCCATGCTGCCCACATCATCAACATGTTACCTACTCCAATTTTAAAGAATTCTTCCCCACATAAAATGCTTTACAAATCTGAACCCGATTTTTCTCAATTAAAAGTTTTTGGTTCATTGTGTTTTGCAAGTAGCTCTCCTATTCATAGAACAAAATTTGATCCAAGAGCATGCAAGTGTGTTTTTCTTGGTTTCAAGACGGGGACTAAGGGATTTGTTTTGTTAAATGTTCAGACTAGAGAATTGCTTGTATCAAGAAATGTAATATTTCATGAACTCGTGTTTCCTTATTTTGATTTGAAAATGAAAAATGATCAAGTTAACAACATTCCCCAAGAACAGGGTCATTCTTCAATTTTAGACCTTGAACCAATCACTTGTACTCATCATCCTACTGATGATGGGACTAATATATCTTCTTCTCCTCAACATCCAAACACACACGTGGCTGTTTCATCCAATGAAGATAACCCTGCTGATATTGCCATACCAATCTCTAATATTAGAATGGGAAGACCACCTGGGTATCTAAAAGACTATTATTGTAATGTTAGCACTATTTCATCTTCACCAAATTTTTATCCAATTTCTTCTGTTTTATCCTATAAATGTCTGTCACCCACTTACACATCTTACATCATGTCTTTGTCTTCTCATGTTGAGCCAAGGGATTATAATGAAGCTGTTATACATGACTGTTGGAAGAATGCTATTCAAGCTGAACTATTGGCTCTCAATGCAAATCAGACCTAGACTGTCACAAATTTACCACAAGGAAAAATCCTTATTGGTTGCAAATGGGTATTCAAGATCAAATACAAGGCAGATGGAACCATTGAAATGCATAAAGCTCGTTTGGTGGCAAAAGGGTATACTCAAATTGAGGGTATTGACTATTTGGATACTTTTTCTCCTGTTGCAAAAATAACAACAGTAAGATTGATCTTGTCTCTTGCTTTTGTGCTTAACTGGAAACTTCAACAACTAGACATTAATAATGCCTTTTTGCATGGAGAGTTGAAGGAAGAAGTCTATATGATAGCTCCCCCTGGACTAGGTTCTGTTTTTCCAGGACAAGTCTGTAAACTTAACAAAGCATTGTATGGTCTTAAGCAGGCAAGTAGGGAGTGGTTTTCTAAATTATCATCATTCTTACTTGCTACTGGATTTGTTCAATCTGCTCATGATTATTCATTATTTATCAAATCTTCTCACAATTCTTTCACAGCACTCTTAGTGTATGTGGATGATATCATTTTAGTTGGGAATGATGATCAAGAAATTTTTGTTATTAAACAGGCTCTTGATAATTCTTTTCGTATAAAAGATTTGGGAGAATTGAAATATTTTCTTGGTTTTGAGATAGCAAGAACCAAGCAAGGAATATTGATGAATCAGAGGAAATATGCATTAGAATTGCTAGCTGAAGCTGGACTTCTAGGATGCAAACCAACACTTACTCCTATTGACAATGCCAAGAGACTTTCAACTACTACAGGGGAACCTTTCTCTGATATTCTTACTTATAGACGTCTCCTTGGATGACTTATGTGTCTAACAAACACAAGACCAGATATCACGTTCTCTGTCCACCACTTAGCACAATTTCTCTCTAAACCATCTATTGCTCACTATGATACAGCCTTGAGAATTCTTTGTTATGTCAAGAATGCTCCTGGTCTTAGACTGTTTTTTCCTTCAGATTCTTCTCTTCAATTAAAGGCATACACTGACAGTGATTGGGCTTCATGTTTAGAGACTAGAAGATCAATCACAGGATATGGTGTGTATCTTAGCTCTTCTCTCATATCTTGAAAGTCCAAGAAACAAAACACAGTATCAAGAAGCTCTTGTGAAGCTGAGTACAGGGCAATGTCATCTGTTACTTGTGAGATTCAGTGGCTGACTTTTCTTTTACAAGATCTACAGATTCCTTTTAAGGCTCTAGCTCTCCTATATTGTGACAACCAATCTGCATTACACATTGTTGTAAACCCTGTTTTCCATGAGCGAACAAAACACATCGAATTGGATTGTCACATTGTAAGAGAAAAGGCACAACATGGGCTACTAAGGCTACTCCCAATTCCTTTCTCTTGTAATCTAGCAGACATCTACACCAAAGCTTTGGGTCCTCGTCAATTTCGTTCCCTTGTTTCCAAGCTGGGAATTCTTAACATCTACTTCCCAGCTTGCGGGGGGATATTAGAGGAAAAAGGAGGACACCCTAGAGGGTGCATAGCAATCTTTTGAAATCCTGTGCATAGAGGGTGCGCAACAATCTTTTGCAATCCTGTGCATAGAGGGTGTGTAACAATCTTTTGCAATCCTGAAGATTCTTTTTTATTCTTTTCTCTTTCTTTTCTACAGCTGATTTATTTTCATTGGTCAATATGTAACAAATTCTGTTAGGTTAATTGTCTCCTTGTGTGTATATATTGAGGATAGCACTATTCCTCCTTTATGGATGAAATTACATAAAGTTTTTCATATCATCTTTGCTCTTTTTCTATTAATGTTTGTTGGGGGTAATCGAAAAATCCTTGAATATTTGAGACGAACTATTATAGACAACGTAAGAAAGTTACTTGAATTACGCAAAGATTGAGTTACACCCTATAAAGTCAATGTATAATGTATTTATACATATTGACCAATGAAATCCTGTGCAACAATCTTTTGAAATCCTGTGCATAACAATATTTTGAAATCCTGTGCATAGAGGGTGTGCAACAATCTTTTGCAATCCTGTGCATAGAGGGTGCGTAACAATCTTTTGCAATCCTGAAGATTCTTTTTTATTCTTTTCTCTTTCTTTTCTACACCTGTTTTATTTTCATTGGTCAATATGTAACAAATTCTGTTAGGTTAATTATCTCCTTGTGCGTATATATTGAGGATAACACTATTCCTCCTTTATGGATGAAATTACATAAAGTTTTTCATATTATCTTTGCTCTTTTTCTATTAATGTTTGTTGGGGTAATCGAAAAATCCTTGAATATTTGAGACGAACTATTATAGACAATGTAAGAAAGTTACTTGAATTACGCAAAGATTGAGTTACACCCTATAAAGTCAATGTATAATGTATTTATCGAAAATGAAGACTTTGAAAGAACTTTTAAGGATATATCTGAAGGTTGGAGAAAATGGCAAGGGGTTACCGGTGGTTATGATTGGTTCAGAAGAGTTACCTACACGTGTAAACATCGAGGAAGTTATACATTATATTAACTGTTCTCGAAGCAAATATTCAAAGATCGACTAGTGTAATGGTTGGTTATCAAAAGTTAAAAATAGTTAAAGAAGTTACTCGCGTTACGTAATAGGGAGCGATTACACATACCAGGTCAAAATATGTGGTTAAAAATAAATTGTATGTATAAATAAGTTCGTCATCAAGTAATAATGATAGAGTGGCAAGCATTAGCAAACTTTTATGCAACATTTAAACACTAAAACATCAAAATATGTGGTTAAAAAGGAGTAGGACAACACCACCTTTTTCTCATATACATGAGTTAATTTTAAACACCAAAACATGCCAAATGATTTCCTTTACTCACCAAACTTTATATACCATTACCAAACATTTTAAGATTAGGTTGAAAATGTCAACCTAACCTAAGTGAGTTGTGGGTTAAGTTTATATATATATAT